GTGGGGTTAAAGCTGAGTGGCGGGGCAGCCCTGGGAGGGAAGCAGCTAGCTCCGTGCCCCCCATCCCACTCCCATGCTGGTCTGCAGTATAAAAAAGGTTGGGAAACACTGGTTTAGGGTTCTTAATTGGGCTAAAGTGCTCACATTTATCAGTCAAGTTTTAGAGAGCATGAGAATCTATTGTAGAATTAAGTAAAGGTAAAGTTTGCCTTAAAAATACATTAGGGATCTTTTCAATTATCAGGTGGATCGTAGGGACAACACCCTAGAGTTCTGCTCTGTACAATAAAATGTAATCTACCTTGGACCTATAGACTCTATAGCAGCGTTTCTCAACCCATGGCTCATGACCCAAAAGTGGGTTGCAAGACTATATGAAAGGGTCGCAAATAAACTTTAAAAATGGATTCTCCTTTAAAGGAGAAAAATGTGGGAAACCATGGGTTTTCCCTTGCAGGCTGGCAGAGTTCCAGCCTGGAAGGGGCTGCCCCCCACACACTGGGGGGCTGGACTGGCTCTAGGAGCAGTGGGTTGCGAATGAGGGGCACTGGATTGAGACTGGCCATCAGTGTTTACAGATGGGTCCTGATACGATAAAGGTTGAGAATCGCTGCTCTATAGTGCTGCCAGAATTGCTCTTCTGCGCATTTTATTGTAGAATGATAAAACTCCACACAAAATCTGTTTTGATCTAGCATTTACATTTTCAATGTACTTATTCCAGTGCGCTGAGATTTTGGTTGTGACCTTTTTTTTCCTCTTTCCCCCTACTCTCTTCCCCCTTCCCTCCCCTGCTTTACCTTTTGTCTTGCTTATCTCTACCTATTTACTTTTTCACTGACATCCTACCACACTCTTAGCTTCTCTCATTCCGTGGAGTCTCAGACCAACAGAGACTCCCTATGCCTGACAAAGGGTGACTGCACCCGAAAGTTTGCAAAGAACTTTATTCCAACTACTCAGTTGGTCTAATAAAAGATATCACGTCTAACCAAAGAACCTTGCCTGTCTTATTCCAGTTCAGCTTTTTGCTAAAATAAATTCCAAGGTATTTAAAGAAAGATACCACCTGTATTTTCTTTTCCTGTAAAAAAGCAATCCCATTCCTTCTTTCCAATGGTCATTTCCAAAGACTGTTATGTTGGATAGGGCATGCCAGTCACATAACATACCCTTGATGCTGCGTTGAATAGTAAGTGAAGATTAAGAGAGCTTTGTCTATTGATGTTAGTGCCAGTTTCTTCCATAATTTTAATCTGTCTGTAGAGTAGAAGACTCTCTTGAGATCTATGAAGGCTACATACAAATAATTTTGTCTTTTAACATATTTGGATGCCAAATAATACAATGCCAAACAATGGCCCATTCAGGAATAACCTTCTCTAAAACCAGTATGCTCTTCTCCCCAAATATTTTCAGAGATCCATGTCTGAAGGTGAAAAAGTAAATGTGTCTCAGATATTTTGGCAGGAATACACATAAGGCTAATCCTGGTTTTCTTGTAAAAATCATGAATTCTCTGATAGAAGAAAGTCACAAATTCTATTATTAGAAACTCCAAAATCCAGGTTTTTCCATGATTAAAATGAAATGCCACTACATATATATATCTATATCTATATCTATAGATATCGATATATATCGGTTGAACACAATTATTTTATTGATATACTTACAATTTTAAAGCAATTTGGAAACCTACCAGTGCCTCAGTCACTATAATACAATAAAGTCTAAATACCTATAATGGGTTTCTTGAAAATCAGAGCTAATCCTGCCCCATTCTCTCACCAAGACACACAGAGATCTGGGAAGCATGTGTCCACCATGCTGCCCAGGAGTGTGCATAGCAATGGGGAGCTAGCCCTCACCCGTTGGATGAGCTGCCCACAACTCTCTCCCTCCCTCACCTTGGGGGCCCCAGTTCTCCCCCCTCCTCCTCCTGCCAAACTTACCTGTGGCGAGCTGCTCTCCAGGCTGCCTGGAGGCCTTGTGCACATCCACATGGCACCCCCTGTCTGACCACTGGACATCCACATGGCACCCCCTGCCTGACCATCCTGCTCCCCACAGTCCCTTGCAAGCTGGAACTCTGCCAGCCTGCAAAGGAAAACTTACTGTCTCCCGTGTTTGTCTCCTTTAAAGGAGAAAATCCAGGTTTTTCTCCTTAAAATGAGAAAATCTGAGTTTTACTACGTTTTTCTGTGGTGAACAGAAAACCCAGATCCCTGGTGATAAGACACAGGATCTCTTATCACTGTTTTTTAAAACTGGGACTATTATATTTTCATTGCAGTACTTTTGATAAATACCTTCTAAAATAATCGTATTAAAATTTTTGGTTTGAATCAGACACAACCAGTCAATGATTTGAGGAGAAAATCAAGGCCGAGAGCTTTTCCATTTCTCAGTAAAAATATACTCGTACTTGAGGTTCAGAGGTGAGATAATGATCTACTTGTAGCTTAACAGATAAAATTTCTTTCAACAAGAAGCTACCATTTCCTTCACCATCTGCAGATAAGTTGTTAAACTTGTTTTAAAAAAACAAGACCCATGTATCTTCAGGGATATACACGTTAGAAATTATCCCTTTGGCTATAATTTGCCAAAAAGTTAATTATATTTTTTTCCTTACAGCTACTAGTTCTTTCCACAACTTCATTTGCTATTGTTTCTTTTTTGTAGCTATCAATTTTTCATAGTCTGTTTTAATTTTCTTGACGCACTGAAAACTAACACAGTCATTTTTAGACTTATATTCCTCCACTGTGTCCTGATTCCTTCCCAAAGTGCACTTTACATTCTGACAGCACATGCATGGGTGGATCCAGGAGTTTGTGAAGGAGGGTGCAGGAGCAGCAACTAACACTGCAGGCATGGCTGCACCACTCCTCCCAGCTCCCCCTTCACACCCAGGTGGCAGGCCACACCAAGGGAGCAGCAATGAGGACTTCTTTTAAGTCCCCAAATTAGTTAACAATCTTGTCATCCCCCCACCACCTCCACATCCCCTTCTCTTGCCCACCACTGCCACTGTCCCTGGCTGATCTGGGGGGGCGGAGGCAGGGGGGTGGCCTGGGCTGGGCTGAGCTCCAAAGCTATTCCTGCCCTGCTCCACCTGGGAACAGCAGCAGCAGGAAGGTTGCCTGGTCCCACTAGTAATTCCCTACCAATCTAGAACCGAGTGCAGGGAGGGGGAACCTGCCTGGCATTGCCACTGCTGCTGAGCCCAGGTGCTGCAGCTCTGGAGCCCCTTCCCTCTCAGCCCTCCCAAACCATAACCCTCGCAGTTCATTTCACAGGAAGTCAGAGGTTGGCTTCAGAGCCACTGCAGCCAAGCACAGGAGGGGACAGCAGTGCCCAGTAGGTTCCCTCTCCCTGTGTTTGCTCCTGGACTGGTGGGCCCTGGGGGCCCTGGGCAGAGAGAAAGCAGCTGCCTGTTATCACTGCTCCCAATGGGGCCAAGACAGAAGTGGCTGTGGAGCCCCCCATCTCCACATCAGCTGGGAACAGTGGCAGTTGTGGGCGGGGAAGGAGGGTGAATGGGAGGGGAGGAAATGAGCTGCAGAGGACAGAGGGGAAGTGAGTTGTGGGGACAGGTGACAGGATTCTTACCTGATTTGGGAACTTTAAAGTGCATGCTGCTGCTGCTGCACTATTGTCCTGTTAAAAGTGGGATGTGTCCACATCCCCCTCATCCCCTCCGGATCTGCTTGAGCACAGGTGCTGAGTGGAGCCACACCGCCACTTGGATGTTCATGTCCTTTGGTAACAGGCAGTAGCTGCTGTCTGCTGCTAATACTTCTTTCAACAGAGCAGGGTGTCTTTGTAACCTAAGCTTGTCTAAAGGGGATTGGGTTTAGAGCAGTTGAATTTCTCTAGATGCAGAAAAAAGAAACTAGACAGTGATAGGGTTTATAAGGATCTTAGAACAAGAGAGGAACAAAAAAGCCATGGTTTTGTAATGCAGGATTATTTGGGCTAGATTTAGAGAGGATGTGGTGCTCAAAAGTAGTACCAATCTCACCCACCACTTGTAAAACAACATAGTGACATATATCCAGGACATGCATATCCTGGGCTCAGTCCACATCTTCCAGGATAGTGCCATTCCTTCCTCGTGTCCTTGTGAAAAATTTAGAATTCACAGATTTGTTGGAATCTGGAAGGGCTGTACCAGGTTCTGCTGTGGCCTCAAACCCGCAACCTTAGTGCCCATGCCACCCTACCCCCCAGATAATATAATTGTATTTTACCTAATAGTTTTTTTAATGTAAAATACATAAATAGCCCCAGGAATGCTATACCACTGGAGTACACTAGTGCATTCTTTTATACTGGCATACTGTCTCTGTTTTTATCATCATGCACCCCTAAGAGGTAAGTATAAACCTAAGAGTACCCACAAGGCTAGAGCTCTCAAAAGGTTGCACTTAAGTTCCACAGGGGTGTGGGTCTCACTTTTCTTTGAAGGTGGGTTCCAGCTGGGTCTCACTTCGAAGGTGACAGAGAACCTGTGCCCAAGAATCTATCAGAAAGGCCACAGAAAGCAGCGCATCCTGTTCTGACCGGGAGAAAGTTTACGAGTATACAGGGCAGCATGGTAGAACCTTAAAGAGTCTAGTAAAGATTCAGCTGAGGAAGTGCCACTAGGGCTGTGCAACAGTGACAAAAGGGAAAAAAGCCTTAGTAAATTTGTTTGAAGAAAATGCCATTCTGAGATTCAAAGCTGACATTTTGGAATTGCTCAGTTATGTTTGTCAGAAGCAACACCCCTTTTTCCCCCCAGACTAAAATTGTTATTCCACTCAAGTCATGTGCATATACAGTATCAACTACATTTATAAGCAGGAATTGTAGGCATTTCTATAGGGAGAAGGTATGTTTCAATAAAAAGTATTTTTGTACTGTTTGCAAATGGAGGGTACACATTTTACTTTGTGCTTATTTTCCATGCTGTAGAATACAATTTTTATCTATTCTTTCCATCTCTGCAGAGATTCAAGATTAACATCAATAGGAGGTGGTGCAGATGAAGTCATGCTTTCCATTATATGTAAATATATGGATATTCTTCCAAAGAAGTAATGCCCAGCAAAGTCGCAACTCTTTATTGGCTATGGGAAAATATGGATTTACCACAAATCGAGTGTGAGCAGTACACAAATTCCAAAAGGTGATTCAAGTGAAAAAACTGTCTTGCATTCATGCCAAAGAAACAAAAGTCTGTGCCTTTGCCCACTATTGCTTGGTCTATATACAATTTAATATTGAACTTTAGGTTGATAGAAAATTATCTGAAAACTTAGCATCTCTAGGATTTTTTTTTCATTTTGTTGAACAGATACTTTTGATTCATCTAATCCATATTAAGTAACCAGAGACTATCTTCTAAAAAGTTATACCCATGTTGTTTTTACAAAAACAACCACCTACTTAGAATTCAACCAGAAGCTTGCTTCAGTTTGAGTGTAAAAGTGAATACTTCTATTCTAAAAAATGAGGGTATGCACTCTCCCCATGCCTTATTTCTTAAACTTGCCAATACGTTTTTTAATACACTGCTTCTGGCCTAGAGCTTCTGTTCTTATTTGCCTATATTGTACAACGACTTTCACTTAAGAACTGACTGGACACTGGATGTTTTAAAGGCCACTATTCCAGTGGAATAAGGTGTGTTGCCTTCAAGAGACTTTTTTTCTACAATCTGCGGTCATACTTAATATATTTGTTTGGTTAGAGTAGTGGTTCTCAACCTTTCTGGACTCAAGGCACCCCTTGATAGGCTGATGGCACCTCTCAGAAAATACCAGCTCTTCACTTTTACTAATTGTTTGACTACAGAAAAATAGAGTAATTCATCTGTTGCAAAGACCTCAGACAGACCACAACTTCTTAACACTATGGATTCTTATTCAAAATGAATTGCATAAATCATGTTTGCATACAAGGGTGTCCTGGTAGAGAATCAATGAGGTAGAGCCTTAGAACATTTTTTTTCATACCGGTCTTTTTACAGGAAATCAGTAATTTGCTTATTTTGAATGTTGATTCATGAGAACACTGTGATCACACATATGCTGGTTTAAAGTTGAAAAAAATGTGACATGCTGCATTGCAATTGCCTTAGATGACAAACATGTAAACAAGTACATGTCTTTGCTTCACTAAATTTGTGTCATCTGTTCTAAATATTGCAATAAAGTGTACAGTTGCTCACAATAAATGTAACATTCTAGTTTTACATTACAACTTAAAAGTAGTTATTTCTGATTACTTCTTCAAAATCAACTTCCCATGCATGATCAGTCAAAAACACAGCCTTTACATGTTAAGAGGTGACCTGTCAAAACTCTCTCATTCCAAGGGTGCTTTGTTGTGATCACTGTCCATTTAACAGAATGTTTTTAATTTACTGAAGTCATAAGTGGTATTTTTTTCCTTTTAAAAGCTCCATAACATTGTAGAATTAATAGTTTGAAGGTATTTCCTTTCATATTGAGATGTCTCATCCTGATACCATAGAGCCTAATATGCATTAGCTTAAGCACAGCCATAAACTGCTAATTTTTAGACAAAGCAATTAAATGTAAAAGCAAAAATCAAGGATAAGTACAGTATACTTTGTTCAATTACCAATTCTAATTGATACCTCATTCCATTAAGATGCTTTGATAGCATCCATCTTTCTGCTATATAGGTTGTGCTAAGAGACTGTTCACATTTATGATGCTGATAAAGTCTATAGAACTATGCTTGCATAGCACTAATTTAACTGCCTCCAAAACCCAAATTTGGGGGGCTACAGGGTATCAAAACATCCGAGAGAAATTCAGATACTGCCAAAGTGGGAGGTTGTTTTTTTTTAATTAAGAATTGGATTTTTTTTTCTTTTTAAAAGTAAACCAGCTTAAAATGAAATTTGAATGTAATACAATACAGGCTAAGGTATAGCTGTAGTAATATATTAAAATTTAATTGTGTTGAGTAAGTGAGCCTCTACTAAAACCTCTGGAGCTAAAAGTCAATTTTCTTCTATACAAGAATGAGGGGGAAAACATACAGCTTTTGAGGTCAACCTTTAAAAATATGACAAAATTTCATGCATCGGGGCAAGGAATGCAGGGACTTATGCTACTGGATCAGCAGCAGAGTCATTACAGCTGTTGGAACCTGGCCTCTGACTCCAGCAGACACCATCATGTGTACCTCCTTGATCAAGATTATACACTGAGCCCACCTGGATGGGATCAAACTCCTGTTCTATTCTAGCTAATCAGAGCTCAGGTAAATTCTCAGATTATGAGTATTTATGATTCTGCATCAGTAATAGAGGGTTATTCTCCAAGTTATGCAAAAACAACCATCTGCTCAGTAACTACCAGCCCCCTGTTTCTGAGTACTTCCATTAGATGGCCTTTCTTGGACCCTTTTCCATATGTACAAAAATATAAAAATTAACTTCAAGTGTTCTGCCCATGGTCTCTAAAATGAAAGTGCTGCAGCCTATGAGGCTAGGGGATACAATAGTAGAAATCATTGATGGTTAGGGTTTTGGGGGGGGGGTTGGGGGGGGGGGATGTATATCACAGGGAGGAACATTTGTTATTTTGTTGTGTGAAGGAGAAAGAGGGAGCAGTGTAAGCAGCAGTGGGTGCATCTACACGTGCTATTTATGCAAAACAATACACTCTGGCATGTGTCCTGCTGGAGTTTATTACTCCCAGGTGCCACATTTACACATGTAACTGGGATCACAGCATACTGAGATGAGTTAGAGCAGCCCCAGCTGGCAGGAGGCCTGAGGGTTCAGTCTGCCACCACAGCTGCTCCAGCCCTGCTCACTGTGCTGTGGAGGGGCTGGCTGGCGCACAAAGGTGCTCCAGTGAAGAGCTAGCTGGCAGGCAGCCCCTGCACTGAAGCACCCTCCTGCCCCAAACAGCCCAGTCCCCATCTATACATACAATGCTGCAGAGTACGAGTATATACAAGAACTATACTGCAGCAGAGTAAATTAGTTTACTCTAGCTTAATAGTGTCGCACATGCAGATGCCAACATTTTACTGTGGAGCTAATTAGTCAGTTCTGCAGAAAACGTCTCATGTAGTGTTTGCAACAAAAAGGACTAATGTTGGACTCAGAACTGCAAAAAAAAAGGAACAACATTCTGTGGAACATAGGCTAGTCTTGATTTCAACACCTGGAAACTGCAGGGAAAAACTGCCATGGGTGCAAGTTGCAAAGATGACCCTACTTGGGAATATTTCCAAGAAATTCTGTCAGCTGAAGAGAGGAACACATACCGAATGTAATTAAATCTTCTGTAAAAACTGTATTTAGTTGTAAAATCAACATGTTATATCAAGCAATGAAAATAATTTTCTCTCTAAAAAAAATGTAGACATCCACACACTGGGAAAGTTGATAAAAATTAGTTATTTAAATCAATCCACCCTGTAGGGGGGAAAGAAAAGTAATAATAATCATCCTGCTCTAACCTTACTTCTCATTCAGATTCATCGTTTAAAATAGCGTGTGCTAACACAAAGGAAATGTCATACTAGCACACTCAGACTGGAGACCCAATAAAGTCTCTGTACTTTGTTCATTACATATATTTTTTTTTATTGATACACCAGAGTTAGGAAAGCATGGCAGGTTAAGAGATTTCTTTAAAAATATTTTCTGTTCCTTTGTTTAAATTTTTTTTCATTGGAAAGCAAATTATTTTTCTAAAACAATGCTAGCTGGCTTGGGGGTGGGGGGGAGATGTCCTGTAATTGAAGTGGTATATGGATGAGCTACTCTCAAATCCTCATGTTTTAAATAGTATGAAGCACAGTTCAGTTTCCCTTTTCCTAAGGAATGCCAATATTGTGAAAGAACAAAGAATTAACTATAAAACATGTACCTTGCTGTAACAAGACTTTTGGGCAAAGGTGAAACCTTTGTACTCACTCCTATATTTCCAGCTAGAAGTTCAAAAGTTTAATACAGGTTTCCCTTGTTTTATGCAGTAGATGCATTCCTGAAAAACTGCGCATAACTAGAATTTGCATAAAGAGAACCCACTTTACAGGGTAACAAATAGGGATACATTCCAAGCCTTCAAATGCATCGGCAGCAGGTAAGTCTGCTGGGGCAGCGCTCAGCTCTTCCTGGCAGGGGACTGGGCTGCGCTCAAGGTAGATGGTGGCAGCACTGGGAGGGGGCCCCCCACCCCCCTCCAGCGCTGCCACTGCCCGCCCTGAGTGCAGCGTGGCCCAACCCCACAGCCAGGAAGAGCCCAGCCCCAGGTCCTGGGGTGAGTGGGACCTCAATCTGGCCCCCTGCCAGTGGTAAGAGAGGGAATGGGGCCAGAGCTGGGACAGACAGGCGCTGCACAGCTGGGGTGGAGCACAGGATGGGGACGCAGCTCCTGCTGCTATGGGCTGCCACTGCAAGCTGGGGCCAGGCTATACTAGGGGCAGGCATTGGGAGTGCTGAGAGAGGGGTTGGGGGGGCTATAGTGAATTTTAGGGTGGCTACAGCCCCCCCCAGCCCAGTCCCCACCAGAAAGAGCCTGGCATAGCCCCTAGCCTGCAGTGGTAGCCCATAGCTGCAGGAGCCGCGCCCCCTGTCCTGCCCCAGCTGTGCAGCATCTCCCCCAGCCCCACTCCCTCCCTCACCACCAGTGTGGGGGCATATCAAGGCCCCAGTCACCCCAGCCTCTGCTTCTGCCTGTGCCCTGCTCCCTCCCTCACTGCTGGGGCCTCCATCTCCCCCCCCACCCCCCCAGCCTCCCCCCGTCCCCGCCACAGCCTTACCTGCTGCTGATTACATAAGAGTGAATTTACCTTGCATATAATGAATTTTGGGTATACAAAGGGTCATCGTGTAAGAACAAATTTGTATAACCAAAACCCACATGAAGCAAAGGGAAACCTGTAGAATCCAATCTACCTATTCTAGCAGTAACTAAAACTAGGGGTGCACTGATTAAAAAAAAAAGTTTGGGCCAATACCAATGGCTGATTATTGACCAGCCATATTGGCCGATACCGATCTGATTGCTGATAAACAGCCCAGCAGCTTGGCGGAGGGTGTCAGCACTGGGAGGGAGCTATGGCAAATGTTGGTGTGGCTCTAGCCCACCCTGCCTGGAAGAGGCTGGAGCAGCTCCAGCCCCAAGCATGCAGCAGCTGCTCTCCCTCACCCCACTCAGATCTGGGGGCACATGCCCCCCCTGAGGTGCACGCAGCAGTGGGGGCCACCCCCCTACCTGCACCCCCAGGATGAGCTGCAAGCTATGTCCCATGCCCTGCCCCACTCTGGCTGGGAAGTGCCTGGCCCTGCCCCACTCCCTCCCTCCCTCCCTGCAGGAGCCTCTATCCCCTCCTTCACTGCCCCACTCCCCCCCTCCCTCCCCTTCCTGGCTGGATGCGGCTCTCCAAGCTGCCAGGCTGCACTCCTAGCCTCATGCATGCTGCAGCTGCACATGTGCACACGGCATTATTATTATATGAGAAGTTAGTTTGAAAAATGCTACTTAACATCTTAACCAAGTGACCTACCCTACCTAGCCAGCATGGAAATTGCTCCTGTGGGCCTATTTAATTGTGTTTGTATATACATGTGTGTAATATTTTACAGCCAAGAAAAGCCAATTGCTGATAATGTCAATTTTCCTTTTATCAGTGCTGATACAATATGGATTGATGTATCAATGCACCTCTAACTAAAACACGAAAGAAGTAGCTATGCACTGAAATTGTTCAGGCAAGTTTCACAGCTAGGTAGTAGTTAAACAGGAAGAATTGAGAAGTATGTCTGCTGACGAAATGTGGGTGGCAAAGCCCCTGTAACTATTAACGTCTGCAATTACTTCCTAGGTGGCTTTTGTTCCTGTAGACTAAAATATCTGCAAGCGGAAGAGTGCACTGATTCTCATAGGCAGATTTATGTTAAATCAACGGTTTCTTTGGCTTCCTGCAGCCATACTTAATATATGACAGGCATTAGTGTTTCAAAGATATTTTATCATTTTAAAAAGTTTGTGTGTTTCACTCAAAAATATAAACCATACTTGACTTATTCAGTTAATTATTTAGCATATTCCTGGTAGACAATACACAAAAATCAAATTTGTTGAAGATTAAAACTAGTGTGGATAGTTAATGGGTAAACTGAGAGGCATACTAGATCTTTAATACCCGTTTTCCAAGCAAGTACTTACATTATTAAATACTGATTAAAAAAAAAAAAATCAAATATTTATTCAGCATTAATATTTGCAGCATTTCTAGAAGTCTTCCAATACTCTCTCCTAGGAAATCTATATATAAACACGTGGCAAGTTGTTTCATTTCCAAGTAACAGACCCACACTGGCTAACATACATCAAATACTTTATTCCTTTATAAGTTTGTAAGAGAACTACGGGTAATGCAAACATATTACACTCTCTAGAAAAAGTTTGTCAAGGCATATAGTTTTCTTTTAGACAATTTTCAGTCTCTAGAAAACAATTTGTATTTTGCATGTTGCTTTTGAAAGTGATAGTTTTGCTTAGGAACCAAAACTAAGTCTTAGCCAATGTACATAAAAGTATCTCAAGTGCATCCTTAACACACACAAGTATGAAAAAGTTTGTGTCATCTTGCTTCACATTTCAAAGTTATGCTTAGCTAGGGTTTGGATGTCATTAGTAATTGACAAATTAATGTATGAAGAGTAAAAACCACAGCAATTCAATAGAATCAACGAGTTTCAAGTACTTAATACAAAAGGTAATGAAAATGCTTGCATCTTGCCCATATTATTTTCTCCACGCTATTAAAAGGCATTTGTTTAGAAGAATAAAGGGCTTTGGTATTACCTGGTCTCAAAGAAAGATTGATCATAATTTTTTCCAGTTTAGGATTTATTGTTAAACCTGCAAAAAATTATTCTAAACCACTAAAATATGTTTAAAGTTATCAACCTTCAACCAAAGAATCATGAATTACATTGCAATATTTGTACCTTCATATTATTGTTTGTGAATATCATAAGTTAATTCAGAAAAAGCACAAGCATTTTCCTGTTACCTGCAAAATGCTACTTGTCTGATTCTGATGCTCCACTCAGTATCAGGCCCTAAATTAAGATTCTTTTAGAAGTCTGGAACCTATTCAAGAAAGTTCAAAGAGTCTGAAATTTTGCCAAGTGGTAAAGGAAATATCCACTTCTTTGTATACCCAACAAATACTTCCCCAGAGTAACTATAGTGAAACTTATGTTAATGCTTAGCTTTGTGCATATTTACAGTAACCCCAGAAAATAGGGGATGATGGGAAAATTTCTGGCATGATGTAAAGTAACATATACATAACAAATGCATTAATTTCTAATGCAATTAACAATTTTGCCACGTTTAATCAACAGACTGTGTCAATTAAGATTACCGTCTTCATGAATTAAGACCATCTCATAGTTATTGATGTGGCACATATTAAACTGGAAATAACTTTCATCACCTCCATTTAATAATGCAATAAATTACAAAAAAGACAAACAAGGAAAAGATCATCATGTAGCATAACAGTTTTGTCTGGCTCCCTCTGGAGAGTGTTTTCAGTCTGCCCATAGTTGCACCCAGAAATCCACCAGTAGAATCAAAGTCAGAATCCTGCATAAAGAGAGGACATTCAGAATTATTGGTAATACAGTGGTGCCAAACACGGGGCATGTAGAGGAGTCACCTGGCCTGCATGGCTTACAGTAGAGCTGAGAATTTCAGGGTGGGGCCCACCATCAAGATCTAGTGCATGGAGCCCCAGCTGGGGATGTGTGTCAGTAGGTGGAGGAGAAGGCAAACAACAGTCAAGCTAACTCCTATAGCCTCCTGATGCAGCCTGTCCCACCAGTACCATCACATCCAGATTCAATCTAAAGAGTGCTGTGGCCTGCAAGGAGTCTCATGGCCCACTTCTGACCCACGGGGCCAGGTGAATTAGACATCCCTACTCTAAGAATATAAGGTCACCCTAAAATGGGTTTTGCACAGTTATTCTTGCACTACTTTTTTTTCTTATAACAGAATGTAAAAGTTTCCTGTACCGAGGTTGATTTAAATGTCTCCTTCAGGTCCATTCCATGTACGGTTACGCACTTTCAAGTATAAGCAAGGCTTAAACATTAAGGTTTAAACTTTACTGGTTTGGTTTCGTTCTGCCATTTTAGTCAGTTCCAGAACTGAGCTCTCTCCCGTGCTAGTTTTTCAAGACAATGTTTTAAATCCTATGGCATGCTTGCTTTAGTTGAGAAGAAACAGTGAGCAGATCTGTGCCCTAGTAACCTTGACTACTACTTTAGTACAAAAATTCGAAAGACAGCACTGATGCTTAGAGTAGCAGCAGCATCTTATGATCATGTTTAGACTAGGACTATAATTAACATTTTTAATGCAAGCATGTTCACTATGGTAGCCTAAGAAATGTAATTTTTAACACTTCTTTCTTCCTTTAAAAAATAATTAAAGATTAGTCATTAAACACTTACCATTTCTGTTAACATTTTATTTTGATGTTTAACTTCTGTTCCAATTTCAATGGAAAGCTATTACAAATAATGAAAATTTGCATTAGTTTTTTATAGTTCATAGTATTACTAGACTGGAGTATTTAACACCATGCAAAGAAATTCTGGAAATATCTAGCACCTCACTATATGTTTCAATTCAGTATTAGAGAAATACTCTCAATACTTTGAAAAGATTAGAAATCAGAGTTCAAGGAAAGCATCTCTGAAGTTCCATTTCTGCACAAATACAACAAAGTAATGCCCTAAATCCTGCCCTTGTCACTTTCCCCTGGTGCTAAGCAATAGAGTTGACAGGCATTTCATTTTGAAGCTGTTTTGACTCGTTTCAAGCTCAAACAGCGAAATCGAAACAAAATGAGAGCACTCAAAACCTTTTGAAAGTTTTGAAACGTTTTGAGCTTCAAAGCTGGCTTGTTTGCAGCTAAACAGAAACTAAGGAGAGGGAGGGGGAAGATGGGGTAAGGACTGCTCCGATATTGACATCTACCTCCCAGTTTGATTCCCTTGCTTTCTGATCACTTCCCCCAGCTCTCTGATCATTTCCCACCTCTTCCCGGGGGGGGGTGTGGGCCCCCAATCTGCGTGTGGGGTTTAAGCAGGCTGCTGCTGGCCCCGGCGCCGGCCACTTGGTGCTGCCGCTGGCCCCAGCTGCAGTGGCAGTCTGCTGAAACCCGGCGCACAGATGCAGGGGCCCATGCCCCCCAGGAAGAGCTGAGGAAATGATCAGAGAGCTGGGAAATTGAGCCAGGGGCTGAGGAATTGAACAGGGCGGGGGGCAAGTTGTGAGGGGTTCCACCAATCCACGGGCCCCCCCTCACCTTCCCAGCCATGGTCTCTTCTATTGCACATCATGAACTGCCTTTGTATTTCAGACTGCACAGCCTAGAGTGGGTGCAGGATGTGAAAGCTAGAGGAGGGAGGGAAACAGAGAATGGGAAAATGGCAGCTGGATGGGAGCCTGAGGTCTGCAAATAAATCCCTTGCAGGTAGAATGAGACCTGTGGGTTCCTAGATCTATAACTGAGGGCTGTCCAAATGAATGCACTGTGCTATTAGCTTAGCAATATTTTTATATGAATAGTAAAAGCTTAGCATATAAGTTGAATGCAACTACAGTACACTATAAGATTGAATTCGATTAATATTATGCCACTAAAGTTATGTACTCACTGATTTTATGGCAGTGACTTTTGTACGCAGGCTTTCAGTTAGCTTTTCGTTTTCTTCTTCGTACACACTATATCCACTGTTGGTATAGCCATAGTTACCAGGAGCTGCTCCTTCACCTAGAAATAACAATACTCAGGTTTACAGCATGTTGAACAAAAAACAGAATTAAATATACTGTACTGGATGGTAAACAGTCAGTAATCTTCATAGTTTGACTTTTGAATATCTGTGAACTGTTCTATTAACATAGGCTTTATTTAATATGTTCCCCCCACCTTCTTTTTTAGAAAAAAGAAGAACTGCATTTACAGTTGAAAAAGCGAAGACATGGGCTTTATCGAGTCACAACCTCTTTTTTGCACTGGCTACACAAACTAGCATGCAGCCTAGCCCTGTGGGCCACAAGCTAAGGACCTTGGTTTTTTGGAGGGGTTACATTTGTTTAAAACATTTACAGTCAAAGCTCAAAAAGAATAGTCGTTTTACACACCAGGTAAGTGTTGAGCAGGAACAGTACAAGAAGTTGAAGGCCTTGTGGAAGACCTGAGTGGGCCGACAGCTGGGTCAGTGGAAAGCCACCTTGATCAAGTTCACCATAGCTCAAGCTGCCACAGAGGCATCGCTCTCAAACCAAGAGCAGATATCAGACTTTCCCGTTCCTTACCGCTGACTCCCAACTACGCAGGTCACAACAGAGCTAGGGGCGGGAAAGGCCACTCGCCCAGCTCAGGCCGCAGCAGCCGCATCAGCACAGGCGGGTACTGCGTGGGAGCGGGCGGCACCACGTCTCCCCGGCCTGGGCCCAGCCTCTGGGCCTGCGCTTCCCAAACTCTGGGTCGCGCCACCAAATGG